CCCAACCAGGCGTTTCAGCTCCTCCGTGCCTTAGTCTCCTTGCCGGTGAAATGGGACTGTCAATAGTTTCTACTTCAGTGAAATGTTACAGAACTTAATTGATTAATGAGTGTAAATGATGGGATGGCCTTGAGCAACAGGTGTGCTATCACCTTTGTAAATGGAATGTTTGATGTTCAATAAACACAACCCAGTTCCTTTGGATTATAAAATGTTTTGTATAATTACTAAGAGCTTCACCAGACCCTATTAATTTCCTCCGTCGTGCAAAGCACCACAGCCGTCCCGCCGCAGACCCCTTCCTGCGCTGCCGAGCTTCCGCTCCTGCAGCCCCAGCCCCCCACGGTCCCCCCCACGTGCATCTCAGTGCTGCTCTGCCCACAAAGCCTGAACAGAATAAACTCTTTTTGCTGACACGGGACTTGCCTGTTATCCCACAGCAAATGTGCTTCGGAACAAGGACTAACCCTAATTCACTGACTCTAGGCATAAAAGTGGCCTGAGCATCTCCTCACACCACCACCCCCCGAAAGCCCCTCTGCCCTCACCTCGTCCTCAGCAGATCCTCATGTTGGAAAGCTGCTCCCGTCCCACTCAAATCCCTTTGTTCATATTTAAAGTACTTCAATCTGGCAGAGCCTAAATACGGCCTCGCACAGCGAATGGAAGCAGCTCTTCAGAAACATTAATATTCAGTGTAAGCGCAGACATAGTGCCAACTGCACCCTTGGCAGGGAGAAGCAGATTTTAACTGAAGGAAGCCCGAGAGCCACAGCTTTTTAGGAGGAGGTTACCAAGCTAATAGGAAGTGGGTGGAGGCACAGAATGAAATGCTCTTTCTTAGCCAATAATTTCCCTTTTGAGATTAAGGAAAAAAAATACTGTAGGATTTTTGTGTGAGCTGGGAGGCAAGAATAGCACTAAAAAAACCAAAACAGGGAACATTGCTGTCTCTCTGTGCATGTTTTTCTTTTCAAAAGGATTTCACTGGTGTGAAACTCAGCATTTGTCTGCCAATTGTGGCGGCCACTTCTGCACCGGCTGTGCCCTCTTTGCTAGGGGCAATGCACACCCGTCACCGCTGCGCTCTGCCGACCCCAGTTACAGCTGCCCGCGCGTCCCACTGCCCGAGGACGGGATGCTGTCCTCAGCCTCGCTCGCCTCCTCCAGATGCAGACCTGGCATCAGCACGGCACCGCTCTCGACTGTGTCAGCCTGACGCCAGCATACCGGCTCTTCCCCACCGTGCCGAGCAGATGCTGCAGCCCAGGAAAATATGTCCACTCACTTGGCCTAAGCACAGAGTAAAGCTAGTTTTTAAAGCAGCCCGTTTATATAATAATTCAAATTATTGCTAGCGATGCAGCAGTGTCAGACTTGTGCTAATGTACTGAGGGACTAAATACAACCCTTTGTGCTCCATTCTCCTTCTCAAGGGTAGCAAGACGTTTCATCACTGCTACATGGCTCAACGGCTGCTTGTGAAATGCTCTGAGATCTCAGGAGTGCAACTATCTCATTTTATAATCAAAAACATGCTGTACAGTATGGCATAACAGCACTAAAATCTGTGTTTACAGTATGCTTGCTTTGGTCTGTTGTGTGAAATCACATTTTGCAGCTGCATCAGGGTGTTACTGGGGAGGGACTCCCGCACGCTCCCGGCAGCACCTCTCGAGCAAGTTCCTCACGTCCAACAAATGCATGCGGTTTGTTACACACCGGGAAGAAAAGCATCCAAATTCTCACCAAAAAAGACTTCATCTGAATCCCAGCATGGCTGTCAAGTCAAGCCCATAAAATGGCAATTCAAGAACACGTAATTGTCATCGGTCCTTACCCATATACGGCTTTGTGCCAGCAATGGTGGTGACTTGTATTTCTTTAGTCAGCATCGTGGCAATATTGAAATCGGTGATGTGCACGTGCCCTGAAAGACAGAGGTTGAAGTGTAACTTGACTTGCTGTAATTTCACATGAGAAACAGCTTTGAATCAGAAACTGAAATACTCTATGGAAAGGAGCTTCAAGGAAAAAAAATTCTGGTGGGAGAATTGATAGAAAATATTTCAGCTCATGGGCTTCTTACAGATGTATCTTGTTACATCAAATATGCCCTTATTTACCCTTTGGGGAGCAAAAAATGTTCTCCAAGAGGTCATCTAATGATGATTGTTTTGAGTCTTTATAAATTTTGGAGGAAAGAGAACTGAACTTTTCTTGCAGAAAAACATGCACTATGTTTTTGGAAAAAGATAAAATCCTTGATATTTTTTGCTGTCTAGCTACTTGTCCTTTGGTGTTCCCAGGTACTAAGCACTCTCTCCATTTTCCTCTTTAGAGGATGTCTCTAGAATGGAACAAAATAGCTTTGGCAGCAAGCAGAAAAGCCTTGCGCAAGGAATTCAAACATCATGAAACCCCCCTGGTGGGGTAGGAATGGTTTCTGCTGTCACTGCCACCATGTGCACAACTGCTGCCTGCAAACCCAAAAGGGAATAAAAGGGGCGGATGTGATTTGCAGGGATGAGAAAGGAAATGCTTCCACCTAGCTCCTGCCGGCTCTTTCACTTGCACTTACTTTTTTTGTTTGCAGGCACTTAATTTATTATTCCTTACTCGCTAAACTCCTACCAGCGAGCAGCAGAGCAACCGCGTAGAGCAGTACAGGGGATCAATACAAGGGAATTTCTTTTAAACTTGTGGGTTAGCTCAGCCTCATTCGTCTGATTCCACGCAGAGTCTTTTCTCCTTCCCGACCTCACGCACCTCCTCCTTGGGCACTGACCCTGCCCAGCCCTGACAGAGCCGGGCTCCTTATCAGAAGCATCAGATGTTTTGTATGTTGTGTTTTGCTGACTCATCACCTCCTCTGCAATAACAGAGGGTGGCCGAGTTGCTGTTGTTTCCTCTGACCACAGAGCTCAAACCAAAGCAGCTTTTTACTGATGGAGACGCTATGACAACACTTCCCTCAGTCATCAGCTCCGACAGCTGGAAATTCACTGCTGCTGTAGTTCACCAGTTAAAGTAGAATAAGACCACCTTTGTATGTCTAAAAGTAGATGCTTCAGTAATGAACTCCTGTTGTCCTGTCTGGATGCTATGACACGTTGAAGTAAATCTTCACAATTGTGCCTATATATATCTGTTACAGGAGAACAGTGATACCAGTTTGCCTGCTGCACATATCTGATCTAGCTGGGAAAATGTGGGGAATAAAAGTAGAATTTGTGATTTCATCTAAAACAAGTGTGTCACATCCATGCTCCTGCCCGTGTCTCCTCCACGACACATGCAGTGTGTAAAGCAGAGGAGCCTCTTGCCCGCTCTCCATATCAGCCCGTGGACAGTGTGCGAAACGTGCTCCGGAGCACTCACACCCGAAGTGCGCGTCCTGCAGCGCGGGGGGGGCCGGACGTGCGTGTCCAGCTCCTCCAGAGACAGGCGAGGAGCGGACCAGGCGCCCACCAGAACTGGGGGAGGCAGCCTGCCACGCTTTGTGCAAACCTGGGCACCTTCAGCGCTTGGGCTGTGCGTTGCCAGGGACAAGGACCCTCTGTGTCAGCACCGGCTCCTGCGTCCCACCGAGCCCTGTCCGCACCCCTCCCGCCGGCACAGACATGACCCTCACGTCTGGCCACAAGGCCATGGGATCACACCACAACCGCTCAACTTCCACCTCTGTGTCCACCTCTGGCGAGGAAGAATACATCCCTCAGCCCCTCCCCGTGAAGTTATCATCCAGCTTCTCAGCAATTTCAAATCCCACCATCGTCCTGCCTCGGGCAGGGAAGGGGCAGGCACAGCGCGGCAGGAGCACGACCTGCCAACAGCCCGTCCGGGCAGGACCTGTCCCTGCACTCGGGGCTCTCTGCGTGTCCCACCCAGACAGATTTCCTTATCAAACCTGTGCTGCTTGCCAGGCTTGAGTTTGAAGGAAGAAAAGAAAACTTGTGGCCCCTCCGGTGAGCCGTGGGCACTGCTGGGAGTGCGAGCGAGGTGTCAGAGTCGCCCCTCACCCGTACCCGAACGACCTGTCAAGAGCACGTGTCCCTCCTTGCTGCTCACACTGCTTCACACATCAGCTGTTCCCTCTCTTCTTCAGTCTGCCCGCTAACGAACGGGCGTCAAATCGCTGGGGAGTACTTGAGAGAAAAGAAGGACAGACAACTGTCTTGTCTGGATATGTCCTCTACGTCCTTGCATTGCTTTTCCTTTCATCTCCAGCTCTCACTCCACTTTGTGGGGAGCTGTTTTCATAAACATGAATCATAAAGACTTATTAAGAATTTGATATTCCAAGCACAAACGTGCCTTTCTCTGGATGCATCTTTTAAACTACTCACTTCAAATAAATCACAAGTTTTATAAACTAGCCCACTTGGGAAATTACCAACTCAAGCCAACGAGGCTGAGGAAGACGGCTCCGGCCGGCACGACGGGGCTGCGCGACAGAACGGGGTGGTCCGGGCGACCAGGGATGGCAGCTACTGGTAACCAAGGGGGAAGCGCTGGATGTTGCTGCTGAGCTTTAGGGTCAACCTTAGGGCTCATGTTTTCCTGATTGCTCAGCGTCTCTAGCTGCAGCCAGTTTGCAGAGAGCCGTACGCCACATTATGTCCTTCCCGAAGCTCACCTGTCTGCCCGAAACTGGCACTGTCCGATCAAGCCTTTGGTTCTGCGTTAAGGCAAAGAATTTTCTGATTGTATTCAGCACCTCTGTTACTACATAATTCCTCCACCTTTCTAGAGCATCTTTTGTGCAAGAAGTATAAGGCCTCTGTAGATTCAAGCAAGTTAACGTTTCAAAGAACATGAAACTGGAGACATTCGGAGCAGTGGAGTACAGAGGCTCTTGGACAGACTGCGCTGTAACTTTCTTACCTGAGACTGGAGAGCACACGGGCTACACATGTGGTGCCTGCATTGGCATGAACGCGCCCTCTTCAGCACTGCCCTCGAGAACCTTTCGGCAGTGGCACCAGAAAGGTACAAGCCATTATGGGGCTCTTGCAAAAAAACTCTGAGTTTTACTAGAGATAAAACTGAGCTTTTCTTCAATTTTATTAGACAAAGGACCTGGCCAAAAGCTCCTGATGAATTACTCACAATTCCTGGAAACTGCCATCTGTTATATTCTTTTATTCCCAGGTGAGCTGTGCTGTCATTGAGCCAAATCGATACTCTTGTCATTAAAGGAGGAAATCACTTTGTGCTTGGAATGACTGCTGCAGGTGGTCATTGTTGCAGGCTGAGGATTTTTCGTTGTGGGACCTGATCGCAATCTCTGATGTCGAACAACTGCTTTATTTATTGCACAGAAAGACGTTTGCCTGACATCCCACCTTATTTATGGCTCACTTTAATTTCTTAGCTGAAATCGATATGGTAATACAGAATGTCACTGACGAGGGTGACAGCAGCAAACGCATGAGGGGTGTGTTAAGGTCACGACAGTCAGCAGCAGGACACCACGTGTCAGCTCATGGCATCATGAGAGGCATTTGCACTATCAAAGCCCTGAACCAGCCTCCTACACAAAGATGAGATGATGTGCACAGAGGCTCCTGCAGCCTCGTCAGGGCTTAACACCAGCAGAAAGGGCACTGCGGTTTGTAACAGACGTGAGCGCCTTTCGGCACGTACATCTGAAAGGGAGCAGGAGTCACAGCTGGAAAGGTGCTTCACAGCTGGAAAGGAAGATGGGCCAAAGGGCAGAGTGAGGTGGCAAGAACAGTCTAAAAACCAAAGGACTGAAGTCTGATTGCTGAAGGTCTTCAGGTGCTTCACACTCTCAGGGGACTGGTCTCAATCAAGAACATTATAAAAAATTGATGCTGGCAAATAGCATATATTTTGTGATCAGAGTTGTGAAAGCCTGGTGAAGGGAGAGGAGAAGCAACGGGGAGCTGCAGACCATTCCACGGGGAAAGAGGTACTGAAAAACAAGTGCAATCTACTAGGCTAAATATAGATAAACACGCTATGATAACAGTTGCTCCAGGGACGGGAAAAAATTGCACACTGTTTGCACACATCTTTCTGTATGCATGAGAGGACACACCTTTGCTGCCATGGATGAAGGAAAGAAATACAAGCAGTCACAGTCAGAAGGACAGTGAATTCAAGGGTAAATCCACAGAAAATAACTGAAACCTCTGCAACAGTTAAAACATCACAGCGAGCAGAGAATGGGCTCAAAAATCAACCCAAATTGCAGTGTCATTATAGACGCTTGCAGGTTACACCCCGCTGAATGCAACTGCAGAGCCAAGCAGAGCCTTTTCCCCTCTGTTTTTCCCTCTTTGGGAAATGCTGACCTACATTTCCACGGCTCTCGTGCTCCCTCTCGGGTGGCTGTATCGCCCCACTCCTACGGGGCACAGGGGCTGTTGGAAGATGGTGACAGGTCACCCGAGCGTGTCCCCTGGTGAGGACTGACCGAAGGCAGCCCCGGCCGTGCCGGCAGCCCCGCTGGCCGAGCAGGTCCACGGTGCCTCGGTGGGGGTTGGCGGAGGGGAGGACGGGGTCTCTGCATCGGCTGTGCACGGGGCAACAGCAGGAGAAGAACCCGGTGAGGCAGGAGAGAGGCTACAGCACTTGGAGGCAGAAGCAGGTTTGCTGACAGCTCCTAAATAAATAATTAGCTGGCACTTTGAAATTAGAGGTCATATGCAAAACAGGTGGAGTGCGGGCTTCGGTGCTGCCAGGCAACCCTCCTCACGCAGCAGAGCCACCGCCATTCCGTGGGAGCCGCAGCATCTCCATTACAGTCTCTGAAGTGATAACCAATTCAGATACACCTGGTCCCTGGACTGACTTTCTCTCTGCGAGTGCCTCGCTGCAGCTGCTAGCGAAGATTTCTCACAACAAGCCAGTTACATGGATTGGCAAAAAATACAAAATGACAAAGTGTTTTTCTAATGAGTTAAAAGCTAATAAATATCAGACAACTCTTTACTGCGAGAGCTTTGCCAGGACAAAAAAACGTGTTTAGAGAGTAATGCAAGAATATAGGTAGAGTTTTGCCTGAGAAAAAGACTAAAGAAAAAATGATAGCAACATCTATAATATCGCCAGCCCCAAATCCTCTTCAAAGCTCCCTCCCAATATCAAATGCTCAAGGAAAATCACCTGAATGAAGATTATCTGTTCACCCATATTTCGTTCTGTTTGTGAGCACTCATTACACACAGCCTGCAATTGCATGAGCAGCTCCATTCAAATGATTACTTTTTAAGCAACGGCCAAGAAGGACTTTAAATGAGGTCTGCTAGACAACTGAGCCCCAGCAGCACGAAGTGTCGCCCCTGCCAGTGCCTTCCAGAGACAGCAGAAGGTCAGTCAGTCAGACTAAACACCCCCAGAAATACCGCAGCATCACAGGGTGCCCAGTGCCCTGAAGGTACACGATGCTGCCACTCAAAAATCAAAAGACAGCAACCAAAGCACCAAAGGATGGTCTGGTTCCTCACGGAACCGAGGGAGAAAAGGCAACACCAAATGAGGAAAAGAGCAAACATCTAAACTTGAACTTGGGTGTCCTGTTTCTGACTCTGCTTTTATGCATTTGCATGACCACAAAGCAACTGGCACTTACCATGCTCATCCAGTAGAATGTTGTCAGGCTTGATGTCCCTAAGAAAAAAGGCAGAGAAGGGGAGAGAGCCATTAGCTTAGAAATGGGACATGCCACATGGCTGGAGACACTCGAGGGAAGCCCAGGCCCTGGGGGGACATGCTCCCAGAGACATCGCGCCCGAGAAGGTGTCTTTGCTGGGGCTCTTCAGCTCTGACGTTCCTGCAGGGTTTGGTTTAGGCATGAGAGAATGACTACTGGAACAGCAAGAGCAGAAATAGTGGTACAGGGCTACGGCTGCGAAGCTGCTGTGGTTTGGTCTAGCAGCACCCAGGTAGTCCACCCGCAACATTAGAACTTTTTATCTTTTTTCTCATTCTACTTCTTAATCTGTTTCAATACTATATTGAGACCTGTTCCCCATTTACTCAGTAAAAATCAAATTATTTTAGCATCTTTGTTCTAGAAACAAGTAAGTTCTGCACATTTTTTTTTTTCCTGAATGAAAAAAAAAACCTCAGACAAC